ACTTGATTTCTTGAATTTAGCAACACCCTTTGGTTTGCAAATACATTTTTCTATTTTTTTTTAAAATCAAGAATTAACCTTTTTTTCAGTCATACATTAGAGCGAAGTTAATTTTTTAAGCTAAATGGAAAGTTAATCTTTTTGGTGGCATTTCTTGGCTATTAGCCCTTTCTGAATTTATGGCCATGCTTGATTGAGTCATTAAACTCTCTCAAGATTGATACTAAGAGATTAAATAATTGATTTCTATTTATGGTTTTGTTTCTGTCATCTAAAGATTAGAATTTAGGTCGAGTCACATGAGAGATTAATGAGACTTTTTTTGCCTAATCCTTATGGACTAAAGATTCAAATTCCTATATGTTCAAAAATGGCGTTTTAATGCCGTTTATAAAATCCCTATTACCCTCTAATTTGGGCACTTGCTTGCTCACGCGGGTACATTTTTGTGGTAGACCGGTTCTTTAGTAGAAAAATTGACGAGCAATTGCCTTGTGGGCCACACAGGTAATGCGAGAACGGAGTGTAGTTATGTGGATAGGAGACTAACTTTTAACGGGATAAACTTTATTTTACCTATAGATTGTTTATTTGATTTCTTAAATGTTTCAAGCCCTGTTTAACCAATTTTGTGTAATGCACCTGATTATAACATCAATTCGTATGGTTAGTGGGGTACTTGTTTTTCTAAAACACAAAAATTTTACAAAATACAAAAAAAAAAAAAAATCTTAGAAAATAAAAAATTGTTCATAAAAAAAAAAAAATTATAAATAGCAAAAAAAAAAAAAAATCACTTTTAAAAATTCCAAGAATTATTTAAAGTGCTTTATACTCTCCTAAGACTATTCTAAGGTTTATAAATCCTTTTTTCACATATGTAAATATCCAATTTTTTTTTTTAAAAATAGGTATTTAGTGTGAATGGAGGAATCCAACTGAATCCCATCTTTCATTCACCAAAGATGGAATTGACTCGTAAGATGAGGATTTTAATGGCTCCAACTGATTGCAATTGATTAAACAATATCAGGCTCTCAGATAATCTTTAGTTCTTTGGCTAGCACTGAAAATTGCGGATATTAGCAAAGCAAGAAATCTCATGAAAGATTTGTGATGTGGTTGAATCATTACTGTTGTTTATTGCCTTGGTTTGTAAATTGTAGGCCGTCGAGCTGACCTCACTAAAAGTATAGAAGTTGATAAATCTTAAATTTTGAGATAATCTTTTAAATGAGACGGGTGATCCACCATTTACAAATTCTTCCTTTAACTTGTACGTATTTATAATGCCATTTTTTTGATTGGATCGGCGCTTGGTGAAATAAAAAAGTATTAGGGAATCTCGTGGAAATTTGCAAAAAATAGAATGATGCTTAGTTATTAAAGATTATAATTAGAGGGGTTACCATTGAAGCTTTTGCTACTAATTGCTTCTATTGAAAACAAGCAAAATACACTGCAAGGTCTTCTCATTGTCTTATGATTATGATGATTAATGACTGTAGAGCTTGTTGTTATTATCAATTTTGCCGCTTGTTTCTGAAAGACAAGTCAAGTAAATACTTAAGAATTCCTCAATCAATATTAGACATGGGCTTCATAGATTAAAATTAATGGGGTCAATAATTTTGTTAATGTTATTGCTCGTTCCTATTATAATTTAAACATTGGAGGATCTTCAAATTCAATGACAATGTTATAAAATCAAATGATGATTTATGAAAGGATCTACTCTTTTGATGTGGGCCTTAATGAAAGATCTTCTTAATTAAGTGGATCATCGGCACTTTTCCATGTCCGCCAATGAAAAAAGATTACAAAATAACACTTCTATTCAAATACAAAGAATAAGTCCTCCAATCCAAAGCTCCCAAGCCAAATGAACCAACTTTGAAGGCTTTTTCTTCTCGATGAAAGGTGCAAGCAATACTGAGAATCATTACTGTATGGATCATCATTATCATTGATTCCCATCAAAGTTTAAGATTAAGTATTAGGCACTATAGTATGAAGACTGCATTAATTTATTGCATAATGTTATGCACATCTAAATACAAACGTGAAATAGATGGCTTGCATCAGCGTTGAGCCTTTGTTAGCAAAAACCCCCATGACAATAAAATCAACATGTCCATATACTGTTAAGGAGGGTCTTAAAGGACGTGGAATCCATCTACAACTGCTTATTTTCTATATATCTTTTTTTGAGTTTTTTGTGTCTATTCAATATTATATCAGCTATCATTTTTTTTTGGAAAACTTGTGATAAATATTTGATTGCTTCTTTCCCTCACCGTTGGAGGGGCACAACATCGATCTTCCTTATGTTCTTGTTAATGTTGGTGTTGCTGGAGCAATGATCCAATTTTTCTTCTTCAATCAATTTGGCTGTCTTGATTGCTACAATAGGTGTAGCTACTCACAACAAATTCGTGCCTTGCTAATTTCTCAGTTAAGAAGGTTGCACCTTTGCCCGTTGTTATTTTTCCTTATACTCGGTCGCTCCTCAAACCTTGAAGTTGTTGGCATCATTTTCTAACTAAAAGAACTCTGAAACATTGCACTCGATAAAACAAATTAACTTGATTATGGACTTAAAAATTCTTTTTTACGCAAAGCTAATTCACCAATCTTCGAAGCAAAATAAGAGAGTTGTTAAGGAGAAGATTCTTACGTATTTGTTGCCAAATGATTGTTATGGATCCTCATAAATTGAAACCCAAGGCTTAACTATCTAACATATTAAGTAATGAAGTTAAAGCTTTAGAAATCGAATTGATTATGATTGATCATTTCAACAAACAACTATTGTAAAGACTTGGGCACAAATATGAAAGGTTACACCTATGATGCACTGACATTTCACTGTAAACAACCATGTAATGCCCAACACACATCCGCCACGGGCACACGTGCGACATGTTTGACACATGTCGGGTGTGCCTGTCATGTGTATAATTTAAAAAAGTAACAAAAGAAGGTTCAAAAACACATGTTCGAACATGCGATCCTTAAGAAAATCAAATTTAATTAATAGTATCAAAATGTATAATAAAATGTTAGATTTTGATGATTTATATTGTACCAGATAATTTAAGTTTATTGTTTGTATGCAATATTCTAAAAAAATTAATGATGATCATATTTCTGTAGTTTTTGTTAAGTTTTGATTACTTATTTTTATTGTTTTTAATATTTTTCATTTTTTGCCTATTATCTTGATTCATGAATAATATGATAATCATTTATATTTTTTTCTCTTAAATATCGTTATTTTTTCATCTTCATAATATTAAGATATATTTTTATATATTTTATGCTTTTTAATTTATGTGATTAGTGGATATTCTTTTAATATAATAATAACAGTAATAATAATAATAATGTTGTGTTGATGTTATATCCGTGTTCTATATTTTTAAAATTGGAGTTTCTCGTGTTTCCATGTCCGTATCGGCGCATCCTAGGCTGCACTAATATCCTTCCCATGATACTAATTTTGACGTGGGCACGAAGTGCAGTAATTGTGAACTTATTCCTGCTACCAAGTGATGAAGAGATCAAAAGAAGAGGACTAGGATGTTATCAATATTTTAGGCATAGTTTTCATGCAACATACTTAATGAGATATGATACGTGGTTGCGCAGACAAACCTGAATAATCTTCTGTCTACCTGTGGTTTTGCTCAGATAACTAATGGTGTTCATGCCAACTCATCTCTATGAATTTTTTGAAATTCAGACGACCTTTGGGGTCAAAAGAAATGCAAGTTTGAGGCAGGTACGATCAAGTCACAAAAAAGTTTGTGGTCGATTAAACCTAAATTTCAAGTTGATCTAGCCACCTTTAAAGAGCAAGTCACAATTCATAACACCCATCAATTAAAAAATTGCCAATTATAGCTTAAAATAGGCAAAAAATTGATTGTCAATGGTTGTCCATATTTATGAATTATGATCATCCACAATGCTCAAGCGGTATTCAATTTCAAACTTCAAAACATTTGTGCGAATAGTAATCCAGGGTGGCATTTGATAGAGCTCAAAAAGACCTGCATTAATATTGGAAATGCAAATGCTTTACTCTTTTGCCAATTTGCCAATAGTCTCACCATGTTTGATTTTAAATGGTATGTCCAATGACTCGATCAAGACATTATTGAGTTAAGAGGATATTTGCTATTTATTTCACCAATGCAATTGAAAATATTACCTTCACTAGTATCATATCAAAAAACATATGACTAGTTGGTGACAAAATACATCAACCTCTGGAGATGTATGAACATTTGCGATCAACCAACAAGTATGGGAGGAGTATGTTGCTTAATTGCAGATGGGCAAAATCAATGTTCATGTGGTCCCATACTTAATAGCCTCAATCCTAACATTTCAGGAGCTACTTGACATAGTGGCCAAGTTTAAAAATTTGAGGCTGTCAAAGGCTACAAATGACATGGAGAAAGATAAGTACATTGCACGCTAACTTCACTTACTATGTTGGCAAAATGAAGCAGGAGGCGGTTAATCACACAATTGAATTTATCTTTACCTTATTACCCCAGTCAGCCTGGCCATAATGCTGCTACTTTTTTGAAATGAAATTTCAATCAATACAGTTTTTGTTTTCATTGTCAAAAGGTTTAGGTGTCAATGTTTGATTAATTTTTTCACGGCATTTATGTTAATGCCACACAATTCCTAGATATTTACATGACATCTAAAGTTTCATTATTACATGCATAGTACTAAAATCTTTAACATCACATAAAAAATATCACTACTACTTACTTCTTAGATGTGAATATGCCTTTTCATGCATAAGTTTATGACACCAAAGTGTTGTAATTGTAAATATGAAATTTTAGGTGTTAGATATGTAGATACATAAGAACTGTGTGTTATTTGGTAATTTTCCCATTTTTTTATTGCTCTATGTTATTCTTGGTCCTTGTCTGTCTAGTTTTGTTTTAATTTTACTTTATTTTTTGTTTCAGGTCATTACGTACTTAGACGACATATTTGACTCCCTTTTAAAGGCTTTATCAGATCCTTCAGATGAGGTGCTGCTCTTGAAGTCATTATTTCTCTCATCATAATTGTTTCTCCTATATGTATTTGCTGATTATCTTTACCTACGAAACACAGTAGTAGAAAAAAGTGTATGGCTTTTAATCATTGTACTTTCTTGTATATTTTTTTTTTCCATGATTTATTTACTTCTGGGCATATGTTAAGCTTTTGTGATATGAAATCAGTTAACACAGTCAGCTTTTAGTGCTCTTTGCCATGTTTCTGGCGCCTGGTTAGCATATATGACTGCAAGTTTCTTCATACTATTTTGAATGGTCTTTAAGATTTGTATCGTTATACTTGTCATTGAAATGAACAATTTTAGTTGATTTTGTTAACATCATTTACCTTAAATGTTTGGGAAACAATTTTTTATAGTTAGCTCTTGATAATAGATCTCTACCTTATTTTCAGACACAATCTGGTGCATTCTATTTAATTGTTATTATATGTAGCATTCAGACAGTTTAGTTTACATAAAAATTCCCTAAAACTATAATGGATAAACTGTGCTGATGGTTTTTGCTTTCCTGTGAGCAAAAGATGCTATGAATGAAAAGTGGCATTTTACATTTTAAAACCTTGTTTATATAGCTAGTTTTGTGTTTGTAATCTGTGATGTATGATGGATTTGATGTGTATTTTTTCTATTTTTCTTTTGAAAGGCATGCACATAGCGTGAATCTTCCATTTGATTTTGGTCTTGGGTGCGGTTAGCCTAAAACTCATCTTGCACTGTAGAAAGGCTTTTTCTGTTATTTGAAGCCGTGTCCTCTAGCTAATAATAGAGTCGATATAGTCAGTTCACCCTACAAAGGTGATAAGACATTCTTTAAAAAAATGGGGGAAAGAAGAAAGTAAATCACGAATCTATAGATAGTTTATTGTATATTCTTTTGTCATTGATGCTCAATGGTGAGGCTTTAATGATGTTTATGATAAGTTGGCTTGGTAGAAAGGCTCTGATATTTCTTAGTAAGCTTACCTGTTCACAATTCTAAACAGTCAAATGTATAAATCAAACATAAAGACCGTTAACATAAAATGGCATTAGTGAATAGTCTATATGCCAATTTTAACATATCAAGACCCTTATATATTTTGAGTGCATCTCTTCAGTTTTAAGAACAACTTTGGCTGAATGGTTAGTTAGAGAGAATGCAAACTGTTGATTGAAATTGTTCTTGATGGTTTCTGCTGTAGTGCTATGACCGGTTATGTAATGGAAGTGCAAGGGGGAGCTTACAGTTATAACAAGAAGCATGGATTCCAATTGGTGGACATTGTCTGACTGGAGATTTTGCCTATGTGAATGTTGAATTTGAATTAGGGAATCAAACACAAGTTGTCCTTTAAGGTTCGACCTGAATTATATTTGAGTGGTCTCCAATAAAATTTTGGTTACAAGTTGATGCGGGGCGCCTTAACCTGGATCGGTTTAGTCCAAGGTTATTGAGGGCCGGTCTAGCCCCCTCTTGTTTTGGGAGTGCCATTTCATTTTAAGAAGGGACCCACTCCTAGTTATGTAGGGATATATAATTTCTTTTGTTGGTGTTTAGGTTCAGTTTTTTGGTGATTTACTTTGGGATAGTTGTCGGCGTCTCCCTCTCCCTCTCCCTCTACGAGCTGTATCATAGGATTCCAAGTGGTGCTTAGGCTGTATTTTGGTCTCCAGGTGGTATTTGACTGCTGCCTTGCACATCCTTGCGGCTGCTGCACAGGGCAGCTCGCCCGCAGCTGTTCCCGCTGCTTGCTTGCCATCCAGCCTCTTGGAAACAGTTATCTTGTTCTTTCTAACTTGCCAGCCACCTCCTTGCCCCCACCCAGCAGGTCCACACCCTAACTAGCACCACCTAGACCCGATATCTAACCCAGTTCTAGTGTTATGTTATTATTTTGTTGTAATTTTAAATTTACCTGTTGTTTTTTTTTCAGATTTTAAATTTAGTAATAATATTAGTTCTCCCATGGATGTTTGTTAAATTTCGATATCATTTGATATTAGTTTTATTCTAACCTTAGTTCGATCATATGGTTACTAAAATCCACCAACACCTAACTCAAAACCCTTCCTCCAAGATTTTCAAAAGCAACAACCCTAATTTTATTTGCATCCTAAATCGGCCTTATACACCCTCTTTCCACTTCCCAAATTTAAATTCTAGCCATGCCATCAAAATAGACAAGTGTCGTAAGTCGATCGGGAACTTACCTTGAAGAGTTGCAGCAGGAAATCTGTCGACTTCAGCAAAGACTTAATGAAATTGTGGAATGGACCCATGGAGAGATCACTGTCGATCATGATAGTGGGATTTCGACGGAGAGGAGGATAGGCCATAGTGCTTTGGGATTCAATATCAAAAGAGGCCGAGGGATGGAGTGATTTTTGGAGGATAGGAAGACATCAGGGTGGAGGTAGACTTACCGGATTTTGAGGGTATAATTAATTTAAATGACTTCATTGAGTTGTTGCAGATTGTTGAGAGGATTTTTCATTATAAGGAGGTACCAACTGATAGGTGGGTGAAGCTAGCCACCATAACGTTGAAGAAGGGTGCCTCTTTATGATGTGAAAGTTTGTAGATTGTGAGACAAATAGAAGTTAGGAGCAAGATCACCACATGGGAGAAGACTTAGAAGATGCAGAGGAAGTACTTTTACCCTCACGCTACCACCAAGACATGTTCTTGAAGTTCCACCACCTATAATAGAGAGAGTCCTCAGTGGAGGAATTCACAACATAGTTTGAGTAGCTTATGTTGTAATGTGAGCTGATAGAGCCATAGGAGTACACTATAACTATATATTTGGGAGGCCTAAAAGCAACCATAAACAATGTTGTCCAACTACAATACTATTGGTTGTTGGGTGATGTTCAGGCTTTGACACTTAAGGTTGAGAGACAACTGAGATAGAGTAGACACTCATCTCCATTTAGACATTCTCCTACAATTGGAGGCATTAGCAGTACACCTGGTGTAGGTGTGAAGACTTCAGAGGGATGATGAAATTAATTAGAGTGGGAAGAAGCTTGCGAATAGTAGCACATCCAACTCAGTGTTAACCAGGAAGTGCTTCAGGTCTAATGAATATGGACACATTGCCTCCGGTAGCCCTACTAGCAAAGTTGTTTCCTTCATCGATTAGGGTGTAGTGCAGGAAGTGTGTGGAGGAGGTGAAAGAAGAGCAGGGTGAGGAGTATCAGCTCCATGGAGATGAGCGTGAGATGTTAGTTGTGAGGAGGGCTATGTAGATTGAACTAAAGAGGGATCGCTCTTGGTTGAGACATGACATCTTTCACACCGGTTGTATTGCGAGAGGGAAGGTCTGTACCCTTATTATTGATCCCTACTCTTATGTGAAGAAGCTGGACTTGGCTACTCATAAGTATTCTCAAACCTATTCTTTGATTTGATTGAAGGGGAAAAGATACACATTGATCAACGATGTTTGGTAGAGTCATATTGGGGACCAAATGTAGGATCATGGATGGTGTGATGTTGTACCTATAGATAATTGTCAAATTATGTTCAGTAGTCCGTAACAGTTTGATTGCAGGACTTAGTTTGTTGAGTTGAAGAACATCCACTCATTCACAAAGAAGCAGAAGTGCATAGTTCTTTTGCTCATTAAAGAGTCAGGAGGTGCTAACACTCACGTCAAAGAGGAGGCCGTGATCCCACACACCACTTTTCTATGGTCAATGTAGGAGGCCCTGATGGCGATGACCATAGTCATTCTAGAGGGGACTGAGGAGGAGATCGAGTTACCAGAGATGATAAAACCACTACTTGTTGACTTTCATACTTAACTGAGTGATAATCTGTGTTGCAGTGAAATATGTGTAAACCACACAAGTACATGTGTCAATCGAGTAGTATACATATTTTTGAGTCTTTGTATGGATCCCACGGAGAACTTGTTTATTTCCAAAATGGTGGAGGTCCTGGTTTATTAATCTTAGGTCTAGTTTGAAGAGTCGAAATTTTGAAAATTTTGTGAGTGTATAAAATCCTAATTTTGCAAAAGTAAGGTAGTAATGATGAGAGCAGGACTTTTTTATCAAGCGAGATAACCTCCTTTGAATTGGATTTAAAAACTTAGAGTTATTCAAGTGATTCAATTGTTGTTGACAATCGAGATTTGATCTGTAAACATTCTGTTTCTTTTACTTTGGAAGAAGAATCGAAGAGTCGTGAGAACCAAAATGTGGAGTCGAGAAGCCAAAGAGGGTGGAGGTGAAACTAGAGGGCCGAAAACACAAAGGGTATTTTCATGTATAAATTATCACGTGGGAGAGACAACAGAGATGAGATAAAGGCTTACTTAAGATTCGAAGAGTGGCTATGCTATTGGGTTGAGCCACGGCTTCGACAGGAGCTCTCGTGCGTGCAATCTAAGAGCAAAGGAGGATGCGAGTGCAGACACTCTAACATAAGCAATTGAGTCGAAGGAAAGAAGCTTTGTGCGGAGACGAAGGAGAATCCCTCATGCCCTAGCTGACTTTACTAGAAGAGGAGAGGAAGAAGTGCGTGAGGAAGAGGAGTTGAGCTCGTGCGCTGTCAAACAGGCGAAGAAGCGGAAGGAAGAAGGCTCGTGCGGGAGAGCTGAAGAGAAACGCTGGAGTTATCCTATTTTTGCAGAAGGGTTCTTGGCGTGGTTTAAGGATCAATGAAGTAAAAGTTTATATATATATATATATATATAACGTAAGCCGGATTAAATTAAGAAAATTTAATACTTAATTAATGAAAAGGTAATAATTAATTAAAATAATAATTTAATTAAATATCATGTTTATGTTAGGTTTTTAATTTAAAAGAATTAACGTCAACGTAAATTCAAGCACAAATTAATCGACATCAGAGTGAGTTGTGTACTTTTAAATCTATGATAATATTTTAGTTTTTCTCGATTTTTATGTATTTGTAGAAATTTGATTTTATTTATATATTTTTCTTTATTGGCTACATTATTAGGAATGTATCTA